ACTGGAGCTTTCTTGCGCAAAATTGCATCTATACTGGCCACGGATGCTTTTGCGCAAAAGCACTTTTTGCGCAAAAGCATCTGTGCCAATCTAGACACTTTTGCGGAAATATTTTTAAAGGAAAAACTTTTCTGTTAAAAGTATTTCCACAAAATCATGCCAGTCTAGACGCAGCCTGGATCTTACCCACAAGATCACACTGAGCCAATCCTTTAGAATCTAAAATCTAAAGGTTTTATTATTAAAAGAAAGAAAAGCATGAGAGTAAGGTTGTTAAAGGATAATATATTACATGCATCAAATCACCCAGTTCTCAATACAGGCTCGTAGCAGAGATGTTATAAACTGCTATGTTAAAAGTCTCTGGTGTATATCCTGTGTCAGGATGGGTCCACGGTTCTTTCCGCCTCGTTGTTCCCTACAAGGCTGCATCTGGGATTCGGAGCAAACTGAAGACCAAGATGGAGTCTGCCACGTGGCATTTTATATCCATCCCCAGTCTCTTCCAAGCTGGAGAGGGTCACATGGTCAGTGGCCAGGTGTGTGTTTGGCAATTAGAGATCCATTGTCCCTGGAGCCTCGCTCATTAGCACATCCATTGGCTGAGCATTCCTCACCCATTGCTCCACCCCAGTCAGAGAAGTTTCCAGCATCCATACAGAGTACATGTTTATAATTTCACATACAGACATTATACAATTACATGAATAGCATATGCAGAATCAGTAGAAGGTAAGCTTTTGTATGACACCTCACATGGCCCCCCTTGTATACACTTTTGGGGCAAACAACCCCCCCCCATGGGTGCAGCAGTAATCTTCGTTGCTCCCCTTAAAATCCAGTAATGTGACAATAACCCCGAGGAGAGCGCTGAGCGGCCTCACTCCTAGCCCTCTTGGCGGGAAAGCTGAGGGGAGTGGAACTCTCGCCAAGGCAGAAAAATCTGGTTAGATCCAGTTCTCCAACTGTCCTGGAATGTTCCAGAGGGAGAGGGCAAAGCCCAAGATGGAGCCCTGGGGTCTAAGGTGACCGACTCCATTTTGTTTTACATAAAAATCACTGTCTGAATATTAAAAGCATGAACATATAATCGTAAACATAAAACACAATTATATATTCCGAAAGAATCACTAACACATCTCCATGTGAGCTGGCATTGGGAAAAATAAAAAATTTGCCATGGGACTGTGAACTTAGCAAGGAGGGAAGTATCACTAAGGGTGAACGATTAGATTATTAGTCT